TTATTGTTCAAATTAATGCACAACTCAGACAAACTCTACGTGTGTGTGTAACCGTAATAAAATTATGAGATAATTATTCCTTCACAAATAAACCTCTCAATGAGTAAAACTGATTGTGTCTATTATTATAGATTTACACAACATTTTAACTATTTTCTAAATCATTTTTAAATTATTATTATTATTATGTTTTAAATATTTTTCCTGATTTAACTCTTTGGTACTCTTGTAAGAAAAACAGCAGTGATTGGGACAGAGTTTCAGTATCACCTTCACTTAAAATGATACAATCTAATCCTGTTTATGTGAAATAAGCCTGCTACTGAGCAGATTTGAGCTAATGGACCTGTTGCTTTGACAGCAACTCCGGGATGAGCTTCGAAGAACCTAACAATCCTGGATCACGTCAAATCGTCAACAATAAAATCCAGCTAACTGAGTAATCCATGTACGAAGAACGGACCCCTGTAGTAAACTTTTACACACACACGCAGAGTTTTTTCCTCTTTCTCCTTCCTGTGACATGACCTTGCTCGCGAGTTAAAAGTAAAGTGATTTTATTCATTTGGTGTCTGCTGTTTTCTTACCTGTGTAACTTAATGTGACAAGCCTGAACATGTGCCAGGGAAATACAAGGAAAACAAAAAGCCCAGGCAAAGAATTGGACAGGACAATGGTGGAACGTCCTATAAGACAACTGAGTCCTGCTATTCATGTCACTGCCTGTAGAGCTGAAGGCTATATGTGGAATCTAGTAACCACTAACCAGGTACTAGATTTGCCTTGAAAATAGGCCACATATGCTGAAACGCCCACAAACGTTGTACACAGAATAACAGAGCATTGTGATGGACAGACATGAAAACCTGCCCTGTCAGTTCAGTGAGCAGCAGAGGGACATTGTGGCTCAGCCACACACAAACAACACAACAACAGAAAAAAAAAAAAAACTCAGAAATACAGTGCAAGGGTGTGTTTTCTTGCTCACAAAACCTGTTCTACCACAACGTTAAAAGTTTCATTTCTTTTTTGTTCCTGGTGAAAGGGTGATCAAGCTTGACTGCGCATGTGCTGGTGAGCCTGTGAGAATGTGTGCACGCTCATCCAACTGAAAATGACATAAACTGGATTCATGGAAGTAAGGCTGACTTTTAACAACATTTCAGTACTTAGAAGGAAAAGAAATGGAGTGTGTTTGATAATGGCATCATTAAATATAATAATAGCGACATTAAATATAAATGTTACTGAATGTGCAAGTAAGTTACTGAAGAGACGAGATGAGGTGGCCTCTTTACTATTAACTGGAGAGGACAGGCTCCCCTAGAGCCTATATTCCCTACGCCAAACAAGGTTACTGCCTTTCCTCCGGCAAAGATTGGCCTAGTGTCCTAATACCATATCGCAATACATTCAGCGCAACACCAATGCAACATCCACATCAATTCAATTAGGTATGCAGCAGAAAAAATTACTCTCCGCTTCTTGCTTCGATATTTAGGAAGTAAACACATTAGCGCCTTCGCCACATGAAGGAATCTCCAAATAAAATACTCAGCTAGCAAAATAAACAATTAGTTTTGGCAACTGAATTTGCTGCCGAGTTAATGCGAGTTTCACACACACTATGTTGTGTCTCCTCAAACTGCAAAAAGTCCCTTCTCTAGATTTACTGGAATCAGCTTGAGCTGCATCCCCATACCACACATGCCACACTGATCAGTCCAAGAACAAGAGAAAAGAGGGAAAACAACATATCTAATAACTAAACAGAGAGAGAGAGCGAGAGAGAGAGAGAGAGAGAGAGAGAGAGCCTGATGAGTTCATGTGGGACAGTTTGCATTTTAAGAACTTAATCCTAGAAAGACAAGGCCAGAGGGACAATCACCACAAATCAGCGCAGGAAACGCCATCTGCCTGACCCGCCGTGGACCTCCGTCTCTCCATCTCACCTGAAACCGCACGTAATCACCATGTAACCCCACACACTAGCTGTCACAGAGGAAAAAATCACCATTTATCATAATGGCTGGGGGTGGTATAATGGCTCAGTAAGAAGAGCCAAATTTGAGGGCACCATAGCGTTGTGAGCTATTCCTCACGTTGGGTGAACTGACATTTGTGGTAATGGTAAGCTCCATCGCAGAGATAGAAAGGTGATGGATTGTCATGTTTAAGTGGCTTAAAAATATCTTCCTCATGGGTTACGCATCCAGATAGCACTCCTGGAGAAAAGATCCTTTCTTCCTGAACCTGATTGAATAAATGGAGTAGGTGTTAACTTCACTATTGATTAAGAGGTTTTTTTCTAGACATCATATTATTCAGATGATCCCAGAGGAAAATTGCTCTTTCAAAAGGGAGGACGCCTTGATTGAATTTCACTGGCTAAAATTTAATTTGATTCATGAGCACTCACATGATAAGCCAGTAGCCCACATGGCAGGAGGAGAGAGAGGGGGACACATACAGGAATAAAGAGATGATGCAGACAGGACTGATAATAGATAGGGCAGAATTGTCAGGACAGGTAAATTAGATTACCATTAAAGATGTGAAGCCAAAAGATGTGTACACAAAAAAATGTGTAGCCATAAAACAAATCAATCATGTTTTGATTGAGTTGTGATTGAAAGACACAAGACTTCACTAAACGCTTCAGCGGTCATTCCATCATATTCATGTATTAATTCCACCCCTTGTATACCGATGCTAGGATCCACAAGTTTAATGCTAAGAAAGTAGTATGCAACTTAAGAGATATTATTCTACGTGGGCTGGAATGAAATGTGACATTGAAAGGCATTTTATCTTCCTCTATTTTAATTACGCCATTAAAGGATTAGTTTACTTCCAGAATAAAAAAAAATTCTGATAATTTACTGACCCCCATGTCATCCAAGATGCACATGTCTTTCTTTCTTCAGTTGCAAAGAAATTATGGTTTTTGAGGAAAAGATTCCAGGATTTTTCTCCAAATAATTGACTTAAATGGTGGCCAACGGGCTGAAGCTCCAAATTGCAGTTTCAATGCAGCTCCTAAGGGCTCTACACGATCCCAGCCGAGGAGTAAGTGTCTTATCTAGTGAAACGATCCGTCATTTTCTTAAAAACATAAAAACTTATATACTTTTTAACCACGAATGCACGTCTTGCACTAGCTTTGTGATGCGTGTCTGCAAATTAACGCATGACGTAATTACGTTGGAAAGGTCACACGCGGTTAGTTCGTCGTCTGTGTACTCTGGTTCAAAGGTAGGGTAGGGCGAAAAACTCCATCTCATTTTCTCCTCCAACTTCAAACTCGTCCAACATCATTGTTTTACCTTTTTTTGTAAAGGGCATTTGACTTTGTTTGCATTTTAGCTTTGTAAACACTGGGTTGGTATTTCCGCCTATGTCACACGTGACCTTTCCAACGTGACTACATAATGCGTGAAGTCGAGCTAGTGCAAGACGAGCATTTGTGGTTTAAAAGTATATCAATTTAAAAAAAACATTTAAATGATCAATTGTTTCACTAGATAAGACCCTTATTCCTTGGCTGGGATTGTGTAGAGCCCTTCGAAACTGCATTGAAACTGCAATTTGGACCTTCAGCGGCCGTTGGCCACCATTGAAGTCCATTATATGGAGGAAAATCCTGGAATGTTTTCCTCAAAAACCTTAATTTCTTTGTAATCAGTAATCACATTAGTGTAAGGGAACAGAACTGTTTCTAATGTTTCTACATTGTACAACCTATGACTTATGTTTGAACCACTACATGACTGAACTAATATTAAAGGGACAGTTCAGCCAAAGGAACTTAAAATTCTGCCATCATTTACTCACACTCATATCATTCCAAACCCATAAGACTTTTGTTCATCTTCAAAACTCAAATGAAGATATATTTAATTAAACCAAAGAGATTTCTATCCCTCCATTTGAAGTCCACGCAACCACAAATTGACACTTATAAAAAGTTCATAAAGACACTGTAAAACAATCCATATGAATCGAGGGGTTTAATCCAAGTTTTCTGAAGAAACACGATTGCTGTATATGATGAATAGATTTAATTTAGGGTTTTCTTTACATTAAACATTAGATATGGTAAATGGAAGCTTGAACGTCCTTGCTTTTCGTACAAGAACCAATTGACCCTAGTCAGAGTATTTAATTTCTGACACGAGGTGAGGCTGCGAAGGATAGAAGTACAGTGTATTCTATAGATTGTACTGTTGTTTAACAACATATGGATTGTCCAGCTGACAAAACGTCTTTCTGAAAAAGACTTCATAAAACAGTGTTTGTTGTTATTACTATGTGTATAAAACTGTGTATGAAAATGGCTACGTTTATGAGGTCTATGAGGTTGCTTGGTTGCACAGACTTTCAACGGATGGACAACAATGAAAATATTAAAAATATCTTTATTCATGTTCCAAAGATGAACAGAAATACATACGAATTTGGAGCGACATGAGGGTGGGTAATCGATGACAGAATTGATGACATTGAATTTTTGCTTGAAGAACCCATTCATTTGGCATAACAATAATTGACCTTGAAGCAAATTTAGGTGTTTTTACTTTTGCTTTTGGGAATTAGGCTGACACAAAATATAATCAACAGCACAAACTTTAAAATAAAAAAACCTAAAAAAAGGAAAACATTTTAATCAATTATTCCATAACATCCCTGGGTACCATGTGTCCCTAGTTATAAGCAACCTAGCAAACGTATTTTGCCATATTTTATTATAATTTCTGCAAAATTCTGTATAAATAAATCACAGTACTTCCATAAACATACATTAGAAAAGACTAAAAGATTTTCTGATCATATTGTAGGACTGGT